AACGTAGACTGTTTTGTCAGTTTTTTAACGGGTTTTCTTTCTTGTCGTCGGAAATTTGCTTTTCTGGGCTATAAGGGCTGTTTTTTGCCAGTTTTTTCTTAAGGCGCAGTTAGGTTCAGAGCTAACTTGATTTTTCTTATTGGTATTTACTTTGATTTGACTACACTTTTGCATTAAGTACAAATTTTGAAATACACAGAAAAAAAACACATCTGCTAGTGAATTTTTTTGAAATATTATGACAAGTGCATATTTTAATCATAATCTGGTTATATTTTGGGTAACTTCCCAAATGGCATTTTTTCCAAGTGGCATTAAATGGAAACTTTTCCCAAATGGCATAAGTTTCAAGTTTTCATTGTAATTTAAACAATTTCTATCAATTTCTAATTCTAACATTTTGTCAGGAACGAAAGCATGTGAACGAGATTTGGAACTAATTGCTCGAGAAAAACCTGTTTGAACGTTTTCATTTTTTGTCTGAATTCGAGCGAACAAATAAGCTTGCAATAGCTTAATTTAATAGCTTAAACGCTTACAATAGCTTAATAAAAGCCGTAAAAATTTAAATTTACTCGAGAACAGTTAGTTTTTATTTGAGTTTTTCGGAGCAAAAACTTTGAAAATTTATTTAAAAAAACGGCAAAAAAATTTCTATTGGTTTTTTTCTTTGACTTTTTTGTTTTTCTATTTTTTGCTACTTGTAGAGTAACCTGCTTCCTCGTTCACCATTAAAACTTTGTTTTATAACATTTACTAAACTTTGATTATAACAGCTTAAAAGACAGATAGCCTAATAAAGTTGTACTATTAACCGAAATATTTTAATCTTTTATAATCAAAAACTAATCTGACGAATTTTAATTGATGATATTGAGTTAGAAATTTTGATTTAAATGGAGTCTCCCAAAACTAAATTTATCAATTTTTTTTTATGAAACTGTATCATGAGCTAATTTTTCAAACAAAAGACATTAAATGGAGTTTAAATTTCTTAATATTCAAGTTTTCGGTTCAATGATTCTATGCTGATTCTATGCAACAAAAGACTTTAAATGGAGTTTAAATTTTTTTTTATTATTCAAGTTTTTGGCTCAATGAATTTTCTGAAAAGAAGATTTTTAGCCTGATACAAAAAATTTAGTTATGGTTATATCATTGTTATAAACTGTTCGCTCCCTTTGTTCGTCTTTTGTTCTTTCATTTCCTTTGATCATTCCGACAAGGTTTTAACGTGTTTAAAGACTTGTCTCTGGAATCAAGGAACATACACACATGAAGTTGTGCACCTATCCAGCGCACAGTTTGGCATCGCAATGATTACTGTGTAGGAAGATGTTGGCATCGATTGGTTGAAGGAAATTCGAATACTTTTTTTCTCGCAATCAGGTAGCACAATTTACAAACATCCAAGATTTTCTCAAAGGTTTTCTCATGTAAACTTTTCCAATTTTCGTACAAAATAACGTAGTATGTGTGCTCTTATGGTTTTCTTCAGACAGATTTCGGCTTTTTAACTAGCCATTTTTGACGGAACATTCAAAAAATCATGCAAAAAGTATTGCTGTCCTGAGCTTAAATTTTGAATAGTTCATTTACCTGCGATCATTTTTCGTGACGTTATGGAGGTTTAAAGATTACCATTTTGGCCGATTTAGGACAATTAACGCGCGATATATTTAGCGCTATTAACGAGTAAGCGGAGATTCAATCCGTCTGAGAAATCGTTCCAAATTGGTTGAAGGAAGCTTATTCGCCATATTTGCCATAGTTGACTTGCTACTAGGAGCAAAATGTATCTCTTTGGACTTTATATGGCGTGTGGCGGGATGATTTTTACTGAAAAATCTCCAAATTTTTTATGCAAAAATAATTGTTTTTTTTTTTTACTTTCAAGTTTTTTATGTTATCACTGCTCCATAGACCTTGAAAGGCTGTCGGAAAATTCAAGGCTTCGCCCGTACACAAGCAGTCTTGTTTTTTTCAGTTCAAGAAAAACTTGCTTTATTAATTTTCTTTGCTTTTCAGCGAAGGGATTGAAAATGAATTCAAGTAAACCAGTCTTTTCCAAATTGTTTTATAACTTTTAACCGTCTGCAAGCTGAACTTATCCGGTTGCAGCTACTTTAAATGAACTATTACCTATTGCAGAGTGAACATTTATCATTTGTTTTTGGCCATTTTGAATGATCTTTTATTATCATAATTTAAAACAAACATAAATTACTATTTTTAAAAAATGCTCAAATCAACCGTTTTTCAGAGATAAAGCGAACAGTTTTTCAGGGTGGTGGAGCAATAAGCAGAATGGTCTAAGAACAGAATGGGTGCAAGAGCAGAAAAACAAAATTTTTAAAAGTTTTTACTGATTAATACGGAAATTTGACAAAAAATTTATCAGACTTGTCAATAATACCAAGAAAAAAATAAATTGTTAATCTTTGAATATTTTCATCAATTTTTGTATTGAGTTTTTAATACATCTTGTTTAAATTACTGAAATTGTGCATAAAAAATTTTTGTCAATATTTACTTTTATTATAACTATTCTAACGATCAGCTTATAAAATATAATATATTTATGTTATTCTGCTGTTGGACCCATTCTGCTCTTAGACCATTCTGCTTATTGACTGACCATCACCGTTTTTTGTTTGTTTTCTTGTCGAATTTTCTATTCATGTATGAAGTTTAGAAAAATTAACACAGGCTTTAAAACAGAGACTTAAAAGAACAATTAATAGTCCAATTAGAGCATGAAAAAATGGATCAACAATCAATCTCCCACCCCCGCCCTCCACCCAAGTTACCCACCGTACATTTTTTATGCTGATTGCATTTTTTTGCTGTTGATTACTCAAATTAATGTTTTAATTTTTTTTTATTCAGTATATTCGTTAATTTTTAACGATTCTAGGCTATACTCAAAGTTTGCTTATGAAAAATCTAATTCCCCCTAAATCGATTTGGGATAGTGGAAATTGTACGGTTGGTCCTAAAAATATTCTTTTTACTAAATCTCTTTACATGAAGACATTTTGAGCAGTAGAAGCAGATTGTCTAAACAAAAATTATCAACTCTCCTGAAGCAAAATGTTGATAATTTTCAATGCCAAAGTATTCTAAAAAGAATTTGAAATTATCCTTCATATGAAATGTGACTAGCAACTGCTAATTAAGCTTCGATTTGCATCAACTAGCAAAGATATTTTGGCGTTTTTTTTCAGAATTACTGACATCAATTTCAGTTGAAATTGAAACTTCAAATTTTGAAAGACAAAAAATTGCATTGAAAAGTAGGTTAGAAAGATATACCCATGAAAACTTAGCATCTTGAATTCTTAAACTGAAAAATATAATCTTAATGTATCAGTATTCACGAAGTCAAAAGTGTTTCGTCAAAAACAAGAAGTGTTTGGTGGTAATTTTAATTTTACAAAAATTAAAAAAACCGAACAAAAAACAATTTTTGTTTGCTCGTCATCATCGTGCAACTTTCGACTAACCAAAACCAAAAGTGCAAATTTTCAATTAACTACAAAATGCGACGTTCGAATTGAGTTGTTTTGATTTTCCTGAAAAAAAATGGAATTAGTTTCAAAAAATCTTAAAAATGCACAGAAGTGAACATCCGCCATAATAGCTTATAGCAAGTTTGTGAATTGTATGCCAAAACGTTATAAATCACACATTTGTCTTGCTTTCTCAATACTGTTTAAAAAAATTTAACTTTGGTGCACTTTTTCAACAACCGATAAAAGCATCTATGCATCGTGTTTTTCAAATGAAGAAAATCGCATCAGAAAAGTCGTCTAAGCAATCAATGGAACAGTTTTTTTTGTACTATTTTCTTCATCAAAATTGAAAGGTTTGTTAATAATTTCTTCATAAAATTTAACCCTGTGAAAAAAGTATATTAAGTTTTTTCGATATCGTTTCATAAACTTATAAAAAAGTTTTCTTAAAAAATTTGAGTGTGGTGAAAGTACTTGTGAAAAGAAGCGTTTTTCTGAAAAAAAAACAACACTGTTTTGTATATTGTGCACTTTAGACTAACACAAAAGTTCACATGAAAAAATCTGTCTGTAAATTTTTTAAATTTTATTTTTTTTGTGTGTTAGTCCAGATTGATTCTAAGCGCTATACCGCCCAAAGTTTCTTTTTAGTCGAAAGTACTCTGTACTAGTAATTAACCAATGTTTGAGTAGTTCCCATAAAAATCATTTTAAACAAAAACAGTTGCTATTCAAAAAACCCCTTTAGTTTTTAGATTGTAGGCAATTTCTAAAATTGTTTCGTCGGGCTCAACTTTGTTCTTTGGGTTCTTTTCGTTTCTGTTCACACTATTTCAAACTAAACAAAAACAGAGAAAAAACATGATATTTTTGCTGACAACAAAAAATAGATTTTTTACATTTTCCTTAGTGTCTACAGCAAGCGTTGGTAATAAGCAAGCGTTGGTAATATAAGAGATTTTTTATAAGACTTCTAAGCTGTAATGCAAAATTTTCAAACAAATAAAGAAGGTTGAAAAAAAACTAGTTTAATTAATTTGAGCGAGGAGTCACTCCTACTGCTTTCTCAATTAACCAAAGCAAACAAATTTAACTCTAAATAATTTTTTTAAAATCCTTATATGAAAAAAGCAAAAGCTTTACTGTTGCCTTTTTCTTAGAAAAAGTGCTGCATTTTGCAATTAAAACGGAGACTGTTTTGTCAGTTTTTTAACGGTTCAATTTTCCTGTCGTCGGAAACCGTATCTTATACAAAAAATTGCTTTTCTGGGCCTTACGGGCTGTTTCTTGCCAGTTTTTTCTTCAAGCGCTGTTAGATTCTTTTTTATTGTTATTTACTTTGATTTCACCACACTTTTGCATTAGGTACAAATTTTGAAATGCACAAAAAAAACATATCTGCTAGTAATTTTTTTGAAACATTATGACAGTTGAATATTTTGCTCATAATCTGGTTGTAAATTGCTCATAAGCATCTGTTTTAAGGTCTTGTTTGGCAACTGATGCGTGCTTACACCAAAAATATTCTGGACAGTTTGAACTCGGAGGGCAATGAGCCAGCTGAGACAACTGGCCAGAAGAAGCAAGAAGTGGAAGGATTCATCATCACATGGGTTAACTCAGCTGTAAGTCTCCTACTTTTTGGATTCTTCCGTTTTTCTTGGATATCAGGGGAAAGTTCTTTGGAAAAAACTAATCGAAAGATCAAATATTTTTGGAGAAAACCGCAACCAAAGAAGTTTTTCTTACGCATATTGCTTGTCTTTTTGTTTTTGATCATCCACAAATCGTCTGAAATTTCTTATTAAAAGCAACCGAGTTTTCAGTTTTTAGACTAACCTGATTTTTTCTACAGGTAAAAGCAATTTGAGTCTTGACTAATTAGGTTTTTATTAGTTTTTGCAAGAATTTTTTGAAATAAACTTTGACTTTACTAATAGGTAAAAATTAATATTTTATTATTGCATTTCAAAGTTAATTTTTTTTCATGTGATTTAACCTAAAAACGTTAAATTCACATTAAACTTTTATGTAGCTTACCTAAGTTAAACGTTTCGAAAGTTGAAGGGAAGAGTTTATTCGTGATTTCAAATAGTATTTGAAGGGCCAAATTTTTGATACATCAATAAGTTGGGTTTATGACTACCTCTTACTGAGTATCTAACAAATTATCTAACTTCACAGCTCTCAACTGCTGGCAAAGAAAGCCAGATTGCTGACTTCAAAGACAAGTCGATCCAGAGTTCCATTCCAATTGTGGACCTAATCGAAGCCATCCGACCAAATACTGTCGACTACTCTCTGTTGGATACCCAATCAAACACACCTGAGATATTGCTGAGTAACGCCAAACTGGCGATCAATTGGGGCAGGAAAATTGGGGCTAAAATTTACGCCTTGCCAGAAGATGTAGTTGAATTGAAGCACAAAATGGTGATGACTATATTTGCCTGTCTTATGGAAAGAGGCTTGCAAAACAAATCATGAATTCTGAAAAATGTACAAAATAGAAATTTATAAAAATTAAAATGCAGTTATTTTATTCCAAACATATGATACAATTTACATTTGTTAATAAGGATAATTTTTGTCAAAATATAAATGAGCCTGTTCACTAGCTGGGAAAGTAAAATATTTTTGAAATATTTATTACTCAATTAGATTTTACATTGCATCTAGGTTTGATGCCATTAAATCCTTGTTTTTGATTTCGGACTCTTTTCATTGTTGGATGATTTTCTCCAATTTCAAAATGTTCAGTGGATATTCCCAATATTTGAACAGGCTCAACTTTTTGCCGCATAAATCGTTGCATAATATAGCATCTGTTCCCATTGTGCATCTGAAGAAAATGTTTCTAGAGCCGTAACTATTCATGAATGGGATCTGCAGTGGTGTCAGTAGAGCACCACCCACAACACTCTTCACATTCAACTCATATACATGAGAGTTGAAAGCATCGCTTTTAAATTCTGTTGCAAAAAGATATCCTTCTCCACTTTGATCATTTCCACTCGCTATCCACACTAATGAGTTGATCCATGTCATTTGACCCAACCGGATTGATTTGAACTTGGCCTTAGATCCAGACTGGTTGAGGTCAACTTTTGTCAGTGTGCTTTCATCTGTTAGCAGTAATAAAAAGTCTCTTCCGCACAAAACTGTTGAGAGGGAAATGTCATTTACCTTGATGAGAAGCTGAATTGTTCTTTTATACACTTCATTTTCGTACACATGCACACATTTGTAAGTTCTTGGACCAAAATACCACTCTACCAGCAGTAACACATTTTCATGAGCGTGAATGATTAGAAAAGAATCCGTGTCTAGTTTCGAAGTATCCAGAGTCCTCACTTCTGTTCCATTTTCTTTATCAACCACACACACTCTGCGCACACCATCTTTACGATAATCGACATACAGAGCGCCACCTCCACTCAAAGCTAGCCCTGAAATAAAAAAAATGATGAATTGAATGGACATAATCAAGTTACAGGCATTGCATATTAGCATAAGGAAACTACATAGCAGCATAATGAAATTACATTGCAGCATATTGAACTTACCTTTGGACAGGACAGTGCATACTACCTTATTTATGAACTGACAAGGTTGTTGAAGCCCAAGTGGTTCACGAACAGAAAGCTCAAATGATCTGGAGACAGTGATCGATGAACAAATGTGCTCTGGGTTTCAGCTGAGGCAATTCCGGACAAGGGAATGGCTACAGTCCGGGTGCGTACATGACTCTCAAACTGATCCCAAGGTAGTTGCCCACGATACCGATAGATCTAAGAGGGCAGAGAGATTCGACTCTCGTGTAGGAAGCAGAGTCAGTACAATTCGGTGAACAAAATCCTTGTCAACAAAGTACTCGACGGTTATCCGGTCAACAACTGGTGCCGGCCTCTCGAATATTTTAATTAGAGAAGAAGGTAGAACCCGATTGAACAAAACACATTGAAGACGACGTAGTAGGCTCTAGGATGCTCTGAGAATAATAATACGGCCCCTTCCGGAGAACGTTGCTGCCTCCAGTTATGTGGAGGACGAAAAAAGAGAGGCTATCGACTGGGAACGAACAAATTCCTCAGCACTGTTTCAAAGTAGATGACGCTATCGTCCAAGCGTTTTACTCGGCTGACTTACCGAACAAATAGGGTTGCCAGCCGTCGCTTGGGACAAATCCAAATGCGAAGCAGCATGCTATTCAGTACGGACCTGAAGTATTATGTAGCAAAATTTTTTTGATTTTTTTTGAGAACAAAAAAAAAAGAAATAAATCGGAGCTGAGCGGAAGCTGATTAGAAAACGAGAGAAGTTCTGGTAATCCAAAATTAGAAGAGCTGAAGAACGAAAAGTTTTTTGTTGCCTACGCCACGCTGGACGTAAAAATGGAGAAAAAAGGCGAGTGGAAACACAGACTCCAATTGGTCCAGGAGCCCGACTCAATACGCTAGCAGTGGACATCTTGGGCCAGTGAGTACCAGCACAAAAACCAAACACAGTCTGGTTATGGTGGTAGTCCTTACGAATTTTGCTTTAGTGGTGTCTCTGTTGTCATTGGGTTCGACCGAGATAGCTCGCGGAATGGTGAAGATTTTGATACCCAGATTTTTGACCCCTCAACATTCTTCACATCAATCAAAGAGAAAAAATTGACAGTAAGTTTGTCGTGGAGATCTACCGCCGCTTAATGATTGATAAACGACGGATCATCTACTGACAAAATTGCAATCAAAACGATTTTTTAACAATTTGTGTTAGCCAACTAAGGTCCTACTGTTGAACATCTATAACATCAATCACTGTTCTTGAACTAGACCAAATTACTCTATAATAATTCAAGTTATGGGCTAGGAGGTTAAATATAATCAACTTTAGTAACTAAAATTACATATCAGTGTTAGATCTCATCTTTTGTGTTAGATTTAATAACAGCAACGAGTTCAGCATAGTTAACTAGCTAAGCTAGTCCTGTTATCCAGAAAATTGGAAAAGTTGAAGCATTACTCGGGACAAAAAAAGACCAGCCAAGACACACAAGCCAACAGAAAAACAGAACACAAACCAACAGACCAACAGAAAAGCTTTAAATAATTGCCTGAAGCTGGGACAATTAGCCTCAACTGTGAAACATTTTTGAAAAAAGGAACAGATTCGAATCCACATCTCACAGGCGGAAGCCAAAAAGAATCCTTCTAATTTTACAGAACTCATAGGACGCATAATAGAGTTGATTTGGGCGCGGGATTCAAAAACCAGGACCTCTCGGACCGCCTGGTCTAATACGTGCTATGGCTACTCGAAAGTTCTCATGTGATCTCCGTATGCAGCAGTGGGACTGTGGCCTAAAATTAGCATGCTATAGACCTTGTTGGATAAGACCCCAGACCACCTATAACACTAAAACCGGTTTCAAAGCCTAAATAAAAAGTCCACTGTAGGCTTTCAGAAGTCAGTATGTTGACGCCAATAGGCTCAGGGAGCCAACTGTTTGGTAAATATTAGCTATTGTCTTGTTAAATCATTGACCGAATTTGACGGGGCTTATCAGCAATAGGGAAAAATCCAGAACGGAAACAAGAATTTTGCTAGGGCATACACACTATAAAGTTGACCCAGGTCATATTAAGTTTAGAGAGGGAGTAAACACTAGATTTCCACTCTGAGAAAATCTCAAGTGATTAAAATTGCGTAGGCGACTCCTTTCGGAGGTTATAGCTTTTTCCACGGAAACATGATCATAACTATTAGAGAAGGGATTCATCGCGAAGCACTAACGAAATGAGGATGAACTTGTTACGTATGATTCCAATGGGACATTTAACAATACCCCTGGATTAAAACCGAAAGTTAGTCTGATCCCCAGCTAAAGCTCTAGGAAATAGGGTTTGAGCACCATGCCTCCAACTAAGGGTAAAATATCTATCAGATAACTCAAAAGGAGACTAGAAGTTACCTTGTCCTTTAATTACTGCTTTGAAGAAAAGGATTTAGAAAAGATCGAAACTACACTCAAAAAAATGTTAAGGTAAAATTACCCTAAATGAGTTAAGGTAAAAAAAAAATTAAGGTAAAATTTACCCTAACATTACCTTAACTTTACCTTAAAAAATTGTTAGGGTAAAATTTACCTTAACTGAATTAAGGTAATTTAGCTTAACTTAACCTTACTTTTACTAAAAATATTTAGGAATGCATATAACTAAACAGGAATAAGGTAGTTTGAGATAAACATTGGATCTCGTAGACCACCTATCAAATTTTCAGTTCAACCATATAAGTGATAAAGTTTTTTCTAAGTATATTTGTATTTATGTATTTTTGTATGTATGTATGTATGTATGTATGTATGTATGTATGTATGTATGTATGTATGTATGTATGTATGTATGTATGTATGTATGTATGTATGTATGTATGTATGTATGTATGTATGTATGTATGTATGTATGTATGTATGTATGTATGTATGTATGTATGTATGTATGTATGTATGTATGTATGTATGTATGTATGTATGTATGTATGTATGTATGTATGTATGTATGTATGTATGTATGTATGTATGTATGTATGTATGTATGTATGTATGTATGTATGTATGTATGTATGTATGTATGTATGTATGTATGTATGTATGTATGTATGTATGTATGTATGTATGTATGTATGTATGTATGTATGTATGTATGTATGTATGTATGTATGTATGTATGTATGTATGTATGTATGTATGTATGTATGTATGTATGTATGTATGTATGTATGTATGTATGTATGTATGTATGTATGTATGTATGTATGTATGTATGTATGTATGTATGTATGTATGTATGTATGTATGTATGTATGTATGTATGTATGTATGTATGTATGTATGCATGTATGTATGTATGTATGTATGTATGTATGTATGTATGTATGTATGTATGTATGTATGTATGTATGTATGTATGTATGTATGTATGTATGTATGTATGTATGTATGTATGTATGTATGTATGTATGTATGTATGTATGTATGTATGTATGTATGTATGTATGTATGTATGTATGTATGTATGTATGTATGTATGTATGTATGTATGTATGTATGTATGTATGTATGTATGTATGTATGTATGTATGTATGTATGTATGAATGTATGTATGTATGTATGTATGTATGTATGTATGTATGTATGTATGTATGTATGTATGTATGTATGTATGTATGTATGTATGTATGTATGTATGTATGTATGTATGTATGTATGTATGTATGTATGTATGTATGTATGTATGTATGTATGTATGTATGTATGTATGTATGTATGTATGTATGTATGTATGTATGTATGTATGTATGTATGTATGTATGTATGTATGTATGTATGTATGTATGTATGTATGTATGTATGTATGTATGTATGTATGTATGTATGTATGTATGTATGTATGTATGTATGTATGTATGTATGTATGTATGTATGTATGTATGTATGTATGTATGTATGTATGTATGTATGTATGTATGTATGTATGTATGTATGTATGTATGTATGTATGTATGTATGTATGTATGTATGTATGTATGTATGTATGTATGTATGTATGTATGTATGTATGTATGTATGTATGTATGTATGTATGTATGTATGTATGTATGTATGTATGTATGTATGTATGTATGTATGTATGTATGTATGTATGTATGTATGTATGTATGTATGTATGTATGTATGTATGTATGTATGTATGTATGTATGTATGTATGTATGTATGTATGTATGTATGTATGTATGTATGTATGTATGTATGTATGTATGTATGTATGTATGTATGTATGTATGTATGTATGTATGTATGTATGTATGTATGTATGTATGTATGTATGTATGTATGTATGTATGTATGTATGTATGTATGTATGTATGTATGTATGTATGTATGTATGTAT